TAATTAATTCCAACTTAACAAGTCACTGGGTGGCAAATCTGAATTAATTATAGAAGATTAAATCTTGTTGCAAGGAAAGATCACTTACTCTACCCTTTCCAGATCAAATGTTAGAAAAGCTAGCGGGGCATAGATATTTCTACTTTTTTGGATGGATGTACCGATTATCACCAAATTCTTATCGCTATGTGACTAGGTTGATTAATTCTAGACTAGTAAAGGTTGGTTTTGTGAATTAGTCTTTTAAGTTGGTAATTCTAAGTTGAAGTGAATCTTTTAGACAATCTTTTTCTCAATTTAGCTTTTTGCATACCAATAGACATATCTTTTGTTCCTTCCTTCAGAGCCAGTCTTCTTGATTTAGTAAATCGGCCCCAAAGAGCTGACACCTTAACTGAGTAAAATTAAGATAAAGGTTATTTATGTTTATGTAACTGATTGCTAGAGTCGTTCATTGCCTACCTTTGAGTTGGAACGTTGTACTTAGGGTTGGAGTGGACTAATTCACTTAATGCAGTGGGGCTAGGATATGTTGATGGATTTTCAGGTCCAATCAATGCTACGTTGTAGACTTATAAATCTTGGGCAAGTCATCAAGCACCTGTCTAAATTGTGTAGTTTTTTCAATGCCTTCATGTTGTTTTCCCTTTCCTCTAGATTATGGCTTGTTAATCGACAAGAGTTTGGTTATGTAATTCAAATGATGGTTGAGTAAATATAGAAAATAGCTAGTATTCTTTTAATACTATCATTGGAATCCTTGTGGATAAGGCAGTTAAATTTGGTTTGGCCTTCACCATTCTATTCCACAGATCTGACCGAAGGATCTATATGAATTGGAGTATGCCTCTGTGGCTCCATCACAATAGAGAGGTTCATTAACTTAATTAGCATGTTGCGGCTGCTGATGTGGGTTAATGAGTTGAGTGAAGTAAATCTGAGTTAGGATAAAGTTGTTAGCTCAGTATGGCTCAATGGAAGACCAAAGTATTCTTTGTCCTTCGTTATGTTCATTGGTTTTGTTAAGTAAACTGACCTCAACAATAATTGGTGCCTTGGCTCTATCAATCTAGTATTCAACCTAATATGGCCATTGCACCCTAGTAAGGATTATTAAACCCATCTAGTATGTATTAGGTGGAATGGGTTGGCTGTCACTATTCAAAGTTTTTGGTTCGGTGTTTTTTGTTGTATTTCTAGGTACAACGGAGTAGTACATTGACTAATTGAACTAAGTTTGATGCAAATAATATTTTTGCTAAAAATATTTATTAATCATAGTCATCAAAAACCTAAAAAAAACTAAAACAAGTCAAAACAAACAAACAACAAAACAAACTTAACAATTCCTTTTGGGTTCATTAGCCTCAATCTCCACAAATGATTTGATAATTCAATCTCTTGACTCTGCAAACCCAGTATAGTATGTGCAGCTCTCTGGTATAGTCCTTGCACACCGGGAAAAAACCTTAGAATCCATTGCCTAGAGGACCACTTCTAAGTTATGTGTTAGCACTTACGGTAGGTAGTAATTGAGCTATCCACATTAGAGTTTGTTTGAGGGAGTGGCTGGAGAGCTTTACGACACCCTACTACCAAAATTTACAGTTTGGGGGTATGGAAGAGGAGCTTCGCGACCACCGCATCAGAGATTTTTACAAAAAATCGTGTCCCGCGTTCCACGATTCTGTTTTTACCAATTGCCCCTTCGATCAAAGGTTTGATCATTCAGGTTGTTACCCGAAAGCAAGCTCTGCTCCTTCCCCTTCCTTATCTCGCGTCCGTTGGTTGGTATCTCTATAACGTTCATTCATTCTTCTTCTCTCCTGTTTGTTCAGCTTCTCTGACAGTTTGACTCGTTCTTTCTCACCTTCCATAAATCACCGATAGCAGACACAGAACACCCAGAATCAAGATTGCCTGTAGTAATTGCTGCAATAGTGGCACAGATGATTCAGGTTTCTTCACCTCCCTTATTCTTCTCATCTACGGTAGCAGCGAGCCCCAACACTTCTTCCCACGACCCGATAGCGATTGTTTTCGATCTGAGCGATGAGAGTGTCGATGTCGTGAAGTGGACGGTCTAAAACTACCTCTGCCCAGAAGACACTGTTATCCTTCTCCATGTCCACCGCACTTCCATTCCTCTTCTCTGACATTAAAATAAAAAGCTAAATGGTTTGAACAACTGCTAAATTTTAGTTTTGTTAGAAAATTGTCATTAACACACCCCTAACTCATAAGAATATTGCATCTTCAACCTTATGTCATTATTATCTCATGTAGTCTGTACTTGTTTTGGAACTAAAGCTTATGATTCATTAGTAATGGCTGCTTCTGGTACAAAGATTATGAATGAGGTGTTCTTGAAATGAAATGCGTATCCTATCTCATAAATTATTATGCTCTATGCTTTTCCTGATATCAATCCTTTTGTAGTCTCAACATTACAGGAAGAGTTGTGCATTGAGTGCAACCTTGTATTATTGCTAAGCATTGGGTTATTTTCTTTTACACATAATAAATTTGAGATTGCACCTCTGATGATTTTTAATAAAATTCTCATAGATAAGATTAATGTGCATCACTATTAAGAATTTCTTGTTTTGGGCTGAAGTTTCAATTTCTATTCTTCTATTCTTTTCATCTATTCTTTTCATTTGGAGCAATTACTGAAGATATGCACTAGTTACATCCTTTAAAATTTATTGGTCCCAAACACCTATCATGAACCATAATCTTGGTATATGCATGAAAATGTTTATTTCACTTCTAAGAAGTCAGCTGCAGTGATATTTTTGATATGCTGTCAAAATTTTGAGTGGTATACATATGTACATATGAAATTCTAAGTTTCATGTAAATATTCAAGTACTGTGTTTTATGCAAAAAAAATCCCATCTGATTGAAATTAAACCAAAGCAATCAAAAAAGCCAACGATAATACACATTCACATTTCTTTTCCACAAATTGTGAGGTTGGTATTGTTTTATGAATTTTTATTTTACATTTAGTGTGAAGATAGTGTTGCTTTATGAATTTACATGTTTGTTATCTTTTTTTTTTTTCAGAGCATTCCTCCTTCAGGAGAAGCTACCGTTCTAGTAGCTCATTTCCCTTCGAGTGAAGCTGCTGGTCAGAATACAGATTTGGAAGAACCAGCTACGGCGAGAACATTGCTTTCATCGGGGTCACCAAAATTTCAATTAGCAAAGGATTAAAAAAGTATCTTTTAGTGGTCATTCTAGTCTCAAATTATATAAATTATGTAATTTACATTAAATGTAGATATGCACTAATGATCTTTAGACCGCTCACAGAAACCACTTAATAAAATAATATCTTCATTTTCCCTCTACAGTATCTACCTGCTGTTAAGAGACCATCTTCTTGCTATTTGCTACATTTCAACACTCTCTCTTTCCTTAAGGTCTCATTTGGTTGTTCGCATTTTGTAATTATGTTAAAAACAAATGAAAATTATTAAATTATTCATTTTGTTGGATGTAGTTATAGGGCAACATTAATTTAAATTGCGCAAATCTTCTCAATTTTTTATCAAAACTGATAATCTTCTCAAATTGCACAAATCTTCTTAAATTTCTACTTCTAAAGTTTCAAATATGTGGGCGTCAGTTCTGTTTTAAACAACTTTAATAAATAGAGACAGAATTGTCATTTTTTCTGAAACAACTACTCCACAGTTGTTTCACACTGGTGCCCCAAAAAAACAATCAGATTCCCCGCAGCAGCTTCCTAGGGCAGCGCAACTGCAAATGCACCATACAAAGCCTTAATGTAACATCCTGACTTGTTGTTAGAATAGATCTCATTATCTATTCTAGCCAAGTCATCCTGCGCACTACTCAGATTAAGAATAAGTTCCTATATTCTTTTTTAACTTATGTGTCCATGAATGTCTTTCAAAAATGAGAATATTTTAGTTTCTTAATTAGGATTTCACTATTTTTACTTACTACTTCGTAATTCAAGTGCTAAAATTCATTTCAAAGAGAGTGAGTGGATAATTTTAGCTCAAAAGATTTAAAATTTGATTATTGTTCATCCGAACAGTACTTAGTATTTCAAATAGATGTTGTTTTCAATTTAAGAATTCAATCATTCATTGATCGAAGTAGTTGATGCTATATTATAAAAAGAGTAATGGTTCTCCTATGATTTCATCAAACCTCAACATCTCTATTCAATCTTTGAATTATTTGATCTGTCTTGATTAACTGCAAGTTTTGGGGGAACAACTACAAGTAATGTCTATTTTTTCGGTAATATAATTTCATTTCAATGATTAACAAATATTTGATGTATAAAATCGATGCCTTTGATTTCAAAGGTAAAAGTTTAATAAAAAAGTTGAACAGAAGATGAGAATGAGAAAAAAATTATCTATTGAATTCAGATGACTTGCAAAAATATTTGCAGCAATATAGTATATATATGTATATAT